CCCCCCCCCCCCGTTTTATTTTTGTATCAGACCTCCTTTAGTTTACAATGAAACTATACAATCACCAATAAAATTAGTCAGGGCAAAGAAAAAAATACCAGAACCTCTTTATAGGAATTTCTAAATAAATATATCTATATCTATATATCTATATATCTCTATATAAAATGACTGTTCCTTATAGTGTTTAACTTAGGTATCATTTCAGTTTGTCTGGGCCACATGGTAGGGTTTCAGAGTGTGATGTCACCTCATATTCTACATAAAAATCTGGATTGTTAAAAAAAAAATTAAAAACCTCAGTCGTCTTTATCCCCCTATCCCCATTTCCTTTCATTTCCTGGAAAAGAATGCATGCCTAATTCCTGCCCCCCCCATCTGATATTTTTCTATTGTTTGAGAGCCAGGAAGTGACATCACAGCTTGATTTCCCTAAGTCAAGGAACATTTAGAAACCTTTCAAACCTCTTACTCAGGGATGGGGCTGGTGTATGGTGTGGTACACTGATGTGACCAGAAGGAGCACTTTTACTGCTCTGGAGTAGGGATGTTCAATTCCAAGGAGATGTTTGGATTTCCTGCATGGTTATGTAGTAACTTTAAGATTAATCACCTGGTGTGCAGTATAAAGCGACAGACCCAGTCAGAGCTGTAGCTTTTGATGACAGAGAATACAGTGGCTTGTTTTACTTTGATATGTTGCCAAGCTGGGGTGGGGGGGGACCCATAACAGTGATAATTTTTAATTAAAAATTAAGAATGCTGTTTTAAAGATGCTTTGTGGTGCTTCTAATTTTGGGTTCCTAAACATTGTTTTAAATAAATGCCATATATATCCCGGCCACAGTGTTGTAAATCCTTGCTTTCTTCAGGATTCAGTCCTACAAGAAAGTATGCATGACCCAAATGTTTAAAGAGAAATGTATGCTCACCACTCTGAAATCACAGATCTACCTGTACTTAAAAATACTAGTTTTAGCAGGTCAGAACTGTGCATTGATCAGTCCTTTCAATGAATGTCCAGTTCATTGAAGGCCCATTTATGTGTCAAAGTTCACTTGCTGTTTCTTAATATGCTTGCTATTATGGATGATGCCATAGACTTCAATTTGATATTAGATGACTGTGGATAGACTTTCTGCTCATTCAGTCTCAGATTATAGAGTGAAAATGTCTATATATGGGATTAGTGGTGGACTTAGCCACACCTATTCCACTAGTAGTTGAGAAGGGAAAGAAAGCAGCTGATATGCAGCTCAACAGCAATGGTAGTAAATAATAAAGCAAGGTCTAAAAGCAAGTTCCATACCATCTGTTTGTATTAACAGCGTAACTTTGTGGCATCAGTGCTCAGAACTTCAGAAGTGGCGTTCCACATACAGAAGGGACCTTCTGTGCTTGGAAAGAGTGTTTTCTAGCTGGTATGGAAGCAGAAGCATACAGATGACAATAGGCCCTACTTTATTATAGGCCCATGTGAACACCTCTATTAATGATTATACAAGCAAACTAGTAGCTGTCTTCTTTCTGCTGACAATTCTTTGACCCACTCCCTTATATTTGTTTGTGCCCTTTTGTCTCATCTCTTATGAAATGAACACTGTTAACAGCAATATGTGATCCCCCCCCCACCTGATTATTATGGATAGGTGTTGTCCAGCCAATGGACAGACACAGTAATAGCATAAACAAAGGGACATAGTTCCATATTGGTTTTTAAGCAGAATGTGGTTACTGTTTTGCTTTTTTATGTTTATTACCCTGATGATTCCTGAAAAAGAAATGAATAATCCTCCAAATTGTGATTGTTGCTTTTGAGAACACAGAAATATTCTGTTGATTTCCTTTGTAGATTCCAAGAGCAGTATTGTGTTTTTCTATTGATGGGGAAATTCCAAACAAATTGCACACTTCTACTCCAGAGTCCAGTTTCTTTTACATAGATGACCTCGCTTCAGATGTGTTACCTTACTGATAGGATCTTTACTTGTAGCACTATAACTTGTGGGAATATTTTTTTATGTGAAACTAATTTGATGAGAAGGTTAAACAAACTTTTTTGAAGCACTCACATTGAGAGGAGTACAGGTAATGTTTTTTAAAAAATTGCACAAGAGAAACGAATGTTGGAATGATTCATTCAGTATTTGAAAAGCGATGGATATGTTGGAAATCATGTGTTGTTTGTAAAAATTAAATAAAACTACAAAAGTTGAGAAAGGGTGAAAGTTACTTTTTTTTTTTTTTGTATATAGAAAACTCTCACTAGATCATCCAATTGGTTCTGGCAGGAAAGAATGCCTAATAGGTTTTTCAAAGTCAGTTATACTTAGGTTTGTATTTTCATTATATAAATCACATTATTGGGGCAGGGGAGAATGATTCACCTTTAACAGCATTTTAGTGCTGTTTGTCCCTCTTTAATTTAAATTTTGAACTTGATTGGGATGTCATTACAACCTTCTAAAGGTTTTTTTTTTTTTTGCACTTCCTGTACTTAAAAAACAAAACAACCCAAAGAATTTCAGAGTGGACAAGAAGTGTTTGTTACAAGGGATTCTCAAAGTGAATAAAGAAGTGAGGGAGATCATATTGCCTCCTGTAATTCCCCTCTTCCCCAAAGTCACATACACATGCACACCTCTCTTTTTATGCCTGGAACTGTTAAAGACAATGGTAGTTATTCTAGCAGTTGTACAGAGATGTATTATTTTTCATTTGGTTCTGGAAATGTTTATTACCGGCACACCAAAAATGAAGGGAATCTAGGAAAACTAGTACTTCTGAAGAAGAGGTCCAAAATATATTTACAATAGGAAGCCTTTAAAACGAAGGGGATGGGGGATGGCTGATAGTTTTCTGAATCCTTCTCTCCTTCTCCCGTGTAGTGATAATTTGAGTCTAATTCTGGTAGTTAATACAGAAGGGATATAACTTCCGTATTAATGTGACCCCTTCAGGTGCAGTGGGATGGCCTCTCACACAAGCAAATGAAGTACATTTGGTTAATGACTAGTGTTTCTATAATAGGGATTGCAAAAATTAGTTCATTCTTGCTGTTATTGAAAAGGACTTGAGTCTTCCATGAAAATTGATCAGAGGCTTTATTAAGATTGCTTTTGTTTGTTCATTTACTTTCGTTTGATTAAAGCTCTGGTTCCCTTTTCTTCAGCCAATCAATAGGCAGCACTGGATGTATCTTCTGCAATAGATTTAACTTGCTGGTGCTGGAACTGATTATAAGAAGTCTACTGGAAGTTAGCTTCATTGATAAAGGTCCAGATTGAAGGGACTTGCAACTTACAGAGGTCCTGCTTTGACAACAATTTTGTGTACAACAGCAGCTTACGAATTGTTGACAGCTCTAAACAGCAGATTGTATAGAATCATTCTTTAAAGGTATTCTATTTAGTTCTAAATCTGTATTCAGAACTGAAAGTGGCAGACATAGATGTACCAGCCAAAAAAGTGGGGCATCAGGAGAGTTTTCTGAAAGTTACAAGCATATGTGCTTCTCTTCTTGCAATTAATCTCTTTGTAATTGAAGTTAATAATTTAATTTTAAAATGGCTGCCAATGAATCCTTTCCAACCAAGAGATGAAGAATGAATAGTCAGTGCAGCTATTTACTGCCCAAAGAAATGATGCAAACATAACATACATTGTTTGAGGCTCTGTGGTTGGCAGTAGAAGATAAATTTTGAAATGATTAAATATTTTTTAATTTTTATCTTTTTAAAGATGATTGTTTGATTAAGTTCAAATTGCAAATTGTTCTGCATCTATTTAACCCCAGGGAATAGGTCTCAAGTACTTGAAATGCCTCAAAATGTTGGGTGCCTGGACAACGTGCATTTACTTAGCTGATTGATCGTTTTCCCCATGTTTTTACTGTACCTCAGGATTCTTGCCTCTCAAAATTATGACTCTGTTAAGATACAGCTTTATTTTGTCTGACCTTTTTGCTAGGACAAAAAAAAAATCTGTTTTTAAAATAAGGCACGACATCAGAAAGTATCAATCTCTTGCATTTAAATAGTTAAGTTAAATAGACAGCTTTCCGATGCCTACTTTCAGTTTTGGTAGTGTTTCATCAGTGGTTTGAGCATCCAGCAAATTCTTGATGAATGTTTCCCAAATCAATAAATAGTTCATGCTGTGCATTTTTCTTTTAGTCAAATGACTACAAAGTACATTTTCAATGTCCTGCCAGATGTTGGCCTAGGGAAAGGGGTACCATAGCTTTACGCTGAGGTCATATTGGGCTGACATGGCCAGTACAAAGGAGAAATAGGGAGGGAATGTTTTGCACCTTATAGAATGAGAAAAGAAATTGCATACCGACATAGGTAAGAGCTTTTATTGTGACAAGAACTTTTTCCATATGCGTGCATACTCTCTGTAATTCCAGTGTAAAATATTGTACTTGCACTAGCTTTTTTTAAAACAAATATTAAAAAATGGAAGAATTCATATTCTATTTTCTAATCGTGGTGTGTCTATTTGTAGGATACACTCGCGTCTGTTTATTGAATTTTATGGTCCCTTTCTTTGATGGTGCTTGCAGGTTTTCTAGGTAGAAATTATTTCATTATGATAATAAAACAATGTTTGATTCAAAATTTGAACAAAATTGTTTTAAAGAAATTGTCTGTATACCAGTACAAGTTTATTGTTTCAGTATACTCGTACTAATAAAATAACAGTGCCAATTGCAAATTAGTGTTCTTTGTAGTGTTTAAATTAAGTAAGAGGTTGGTGGTAGTTCCTCTTTGAAAGAGCAATTTGTCCATATGAATGTTTCCCTTGATGTTTTACTTTATGACAAGTTTTGTTCACAAATTGCAGAATTTGTTAATGGATATAGGTTCGTGCATACTATATCCAATGCAGAACTTTCTGAAATAATATACAAGCATTCATTTGTGCTGTCAAGTTTGTCCCCTGCTACCAGCTGATCCAGATATTTCAACAATGCAGCTTATGATAGTGTGTTCTGAATGTACTTAGCACCCAGTTTCATCATTTTAGCTTTGTATTTATCCCTGTTTACAAATCATGTTAAAAAGTTGCAGTGAGCTATGCCATATAAGCATTTTATCCAGTCGCTTGACTCTAGCACTGCCAAACTGTATAGTGAGGTTCTGTTTTGCTTAACACAAAGAAAACTTTGGAAGTGGGGAAAAAATGAACATTGCTTTTAGAACATTTATCACAAAAGTGGCAATTCCAGAACTCAGAGTTCCAAGGCTTAAGATAAAGTGGTTGCAATTATCTCCTTTTGTGCAGTGCAGGTACTCAGTACAGATAGCCTTTGCTTAATGACCTTAATTGGGACTGCAGTTCCATTGCTAAGTGAAACAGTCATTAAGTGAAATATGTGACTGCACCAACTTACAATGGCAGTTCCAGCAGTCCCAGTTGCAGTTGTGAAGTGAATCACCCATGGCCGTTAAGGGAGACATGTGACCATGACTTGAGACTTCCTGCCAGCTTCCCCATTGACTCTGCTTGTCGGAAGCTGACTGGGAAAGTTGCAAATGGTAGTCACGTGACTGTGGGATGCTGTGACCTTCGTAAATGCACAACAGTTGCCAAGCACCCAAATTGCGATCACATGACTCCAGAGACACTGCAACAGTCATAAGTGCAAGGACCATCGTCACTTTTTTTAGCACCATCGTAACTCCTAACAGTTGCTAAATGAATGTCGTTAAAACGACATTGTCGTTAAAACAAGGACTACCTGGAAAGTGAGGCCAGGTAGCATTTACTTTCCCAGAGGCCAGATGATCCGAGGGATATGTCCTGCTTAAACTACCAACATAGCTCTTCTATTTACGTGAATGCTGGGTGGTGCTATTAAGAACTGGCCTATGAAAAATACTGTTAAGTTCAAGACAGTTCTTAGGCATCTATAGCTAACTGTCATTTATTGAACATCTAAGAGCCACTAATTATTAAAGATCCCAAGGTTACAAATAATGTAATATAACAATTATAATCAACCCTATTAAATAGCCTGACTAAAAAATTCTGTTTCCAAAGCCTTGTTCAAGGACAGCAATGTTATTAATTCCAGTCATTGCAGCGCACAGGAGCAGGCTTGAATTCAAAATCATGATCAGGCAAACCTGTGGCAAATACAGGATTTCCAGGGCTCATCTTCATGTGGTAGGATTGTAAAGTGACAGACATCTGCTTAGATAATCTAGACTTAAATCACCTAGTAATTCATATACAATCACCAGCATTTTTTATTTTCCCTGGAAATAAGTAGCCAATATAATTTTAACATAATATGGTCTGTTTAGACTTCCCTAGACTCTTGTTTTATATCAGGGAACTGCCTTCTATCCAATTCAAGAATCTAATTGTTGTATGCTAGTGAGAGGTGTGGTTTTTGTCACTGTACTATTCCTTGTTGCATTTTTAAATTTATCTGGATATTTCAGATGCACCTGCATCTGAATTATTTCTGGATGTGCAAACCACTTCCTCTGCTTGCATGGATATTCCTGTTTCTGTTGTTGTTGCTACAGGTCTGTCTGTCTATAATGGAGTAAGTGGAAGCATTTAATGGGAAAACTGGTTTTAAAATGCCATTGAATAATCATATCCCTGAAAGATGGTTAGCTAGTTGAGAGGTAAATGTGCCTTAATTTCTATTACATGATGTTTCTGTAACTAAAAAGACACCATATACAGATGATGGAATCAACAAAGACAAGTGTTACAATGTTCTACAATGCAGAATGTAATTCCTCTGCATAAAAAAGGAAAGGCTTTGTAAAATATTTGCACATGGTATGTAAATCAGCCCAAAAGAAAAGGAGTTATTTGTAGTATGGGCTTATGCATCATTCCTCTAAAAGAAATCAGTGGTTTGTTTTGTTTGTTTCACTGCAAACTTAAGTCGGCAACCAGATTTGGGCTGCAAAAATTGAGACACCCACTGGATGGCAGAAAAGAGATTTTAAAAAATCTCCAACTCTGGTATCACAAACATATATGTTACTCTTTGATTACTAATTACTCAAATTTTACTTGGACATTGAAAATAAAACAATGATATAGTATGAATCTGTCAGATAGTTTAAAAAATAAGGAACTTTACTTGCAGTAAAACTACATTGGAGGTGTGCAGCTTTATCCATGTTAGAGTAGTGTATCTTCTCTGCATATCATCCATCAGGTTCCACATAAAAACTTTGCCTCCCAAAATCGTGAAAAACTTGTCAGGTTTGGTTGGTTATGCATGTTACAATAGTGATATGAAAAATGAGATCTAGATCTTACACAATCAAAACACCTCTCTGTTAATCATTAAATCTTTTTCAGGCTTCCATGTGACTCAAAATAAGATGATGGTTTTAAAAAGTTGACTTGTTAATATGATTCTTAAAGCAGACACACCTTTTTACAGACTCATATCTGTTCTTACCAAGTCTTAAACATTTCTTCTGAATCATTTTCAAAGAAATGCACAGTCCTAATGTGCAGGTTCTAAATCAGTGTGCAATCATGTGTGCAAGGGGATGACTACAAACAAATCCAGGTTTAATCCAAACAAAATACTTGGTTATTTGAAGGTCCAATCACAAAAAGGGGACCATAACCCTGCTGCCTGAGGTAACGTTTTCCTTTGAAGATGTAATATCCCTAATATCTAACAATATCATTTAATCAGTGGAACAGATTCAGAATGCCATGTAGTTTCTCCCAAATCTGCTCCAGAAGGTTCTAGAGCAGGTCTGGAACATTCTTGAGGGGAAAAGGAGTGTGATGGGTAGTCCTGATTATGAGAAATTAACCCAATGAATTAAAATAATCTAGTCCCATCAATGGTCACTCAGAACCAATAATGGCAACCATTGTTGGCAGGGAAACCCTTGTAATAATGATCTGATTACAAAAGTATCAGTTTATCTGTGCCTTTGAGGCTCAGGTTTAGAAGGAAAGGCTACAATGAGAAGATGGGCACTCCTATAGTATCTACTGCCAGGTCCTAAATATAAAAGATCAAATTTCTTCAGCATATTTTTACAGAACATCTAATTAGGTGCATCTGATATATACAACATCCCATCCTCCATCATCCCATGAAAACTGAAAACTGGTGGTAGAGTTGGAATAATATTCTTTGTTTGGGATTATTTCCAAATCATTCTGCCTGTGATAATTTGCCTATTTCTTAGCTAGATCATCTGTCTATGTAAAATAATCAGTAAATGACAGGGGGATTGTTCCTTACTATACTCAATTGCTCCCTTGCCATATATCTCTTGCCTCCCTGCTATGCCCACATATTCTATCTGATTAAAATTAAAATTGATGTTTCTAAAGAAGGTTGCTGGTTTGCAGTGACTCACAGGAAGTAATTAAACCCCCACCCCCACCCCATCCTCTCTGACAAGAGAGGAGGTCAGTCTTGACCCTACTTCAACAATTTCATAACAGCAGATGTTGAATCTTCTTTAATAGAAATGAATGCAGTGATACATGTTATGTACACAAGAAAGTAAAAGGGCTGGACACGGGGGCCTGGTGAAAGTTAAACCTGATTTTCCTGCCCAATGCTTATGAATTGGGTTTGACTGGAGCTAATCAATCTGTATTTGAGACTGCTCAATTACATAGAAACATCTCTACATCTGTTTCGTAGTTTTAGAAAACACTTGATCTTTTTTTGATGAATGGTTTTTTTAATTTGGCTCTGCACAGTAGGCTCAGATGTGAAGCTGTAGTGCCTTCTTTGTCTTCACCCAAAGGAATTTAAGAAAGATAGCCACCATCATTAGTTTAAATGTTTCTTCTTTAAAATGATATGAATGAACAGAAAGGGCATCTCCATTTGCAATGTTGAAACCTATTCCCTAACAAAGCATTACAATAAATTGAGTCTAACTATTTCATCAACCATTTTAAGAACCATTTTAAGTACAATCAACACACATTAAAAATTGAGCACTTGATGCCTCTGTGAAAATAAAACAGCATTTTTTCATTCTGTAAGTGCTATTCCAAGGCTGGCATGCTGGGGCAGTATCCATGCAGTGAGGGTTTTCTGGGCCTCAGAGTTGCTCTCCTGTTCTTCTGACTTTTCACCACACATTGCAGGAGTAGTTGAAACTTTGAATATAAAACCCTGAATGGCTTTGCTTATACTGGTAATAGGGCTGATCCAACAAATACTTTATGAATGGAGATCTAGGTCCTTATGATGGGTCGTACTTAAAGATCAAACTAGATTTCTTATTTACATAGGCAGGGATATAAAAATAATACCACTGAATTCTGAACAAAAGTATAATCATGGATACAGAGGCAGTTTATGGCTTGTCCTCATCAGGCCCACACCACTACAATAATCAATGGTATTAAGCAACCTGCTTCTTTCCTAGCTTGGAATATGTCAGCAGGAAGCTATTTAATCGCCTCCCCTTCCTGCAAAATAAAAAAGAAAAGGTGGAGGAGAAAGAGAACTTAGCAAATTTCACATCTCCAAAGACCCAGTGTTTTCTTCTTTGGCTAAGAAAAGAGTTGGCTGTGCTGCTGAGTTACCCGAATAAAAGTTGTCCTTCGACTAAGCTCTTTGAGTTTGGCAGCTCCCACGTAGGTACAAGTAGAACGGAGACCACCCAGGATGTCACGGATGGTATTTTCTACATCTCCTCTGTAGGGTACTTCCACTGTTTTGCCCTCTGAAGCTCTGGAGAGGAAAATAGTTTTACTTGCATTGGTGGGCTGTCTTCTCTAATATTAAAATGTGTTTCTTTCCCACAGTGCCTATCTCATCCAAACACAGATATATTTGCTTGTATTCCAATCCGAAATCAGTTTGGAAGGTATTTGCTCACTGTAATTATAATTAATCTAGATAGTATATATGTTGGGGGGTTAGTATTAAAGAGAATGCCATTTTATAGAACTGCTTTTCTGAACTGAAGGGAATATATTTTCTTCTTATGAAAATCCCCACAATATACTTACAAGTTGATCCAATCTTTTTAACCCTTGGAAGATGTCTTCCATTGTTCAACTATATGAATTATATACTTATTAATTCATTACAGAAATGTGTATATCTCCCAAATATTGTTAATTTGCCCCAAACCAACAGATGCCTCCCAGTGGTTTCATATAGATCTTAAATAACAGGGAGGAAAAAGCCAAGTCCTGTGGTACCCTACTCTTGAGCAGTCATGACCTTAACTGCTCCTGCCCCATTACTACCTGCCCACTCTGGCAGGGCCAGAACCACTAAGCTCAATGAAATCATCCCACCTTTGTTTTGGATTGTGACCACCATGATTTCTCCATGTCATCAGAATCTAATTTTCAGAGGGTAGGAGAAGGAGTGATGACATTCTGAGCAGACTTCCAGACTGATTGCTAGTGGGCACTTCTGAGCTTGCAACTTGTCAACTGTTGGCATTTGGGAGTTTCCGGGGGTGGGGGGTAGTGGCAAAAAATTCAAGACAACCATGTGATTGAAACTTTACCCCTTTTTTACACACATTGTGCCAGGCAAATAAAAGGAACAGGGCTTCAATCGTGTGGTGGCCATCATCTTAACCCCTCCCCCAGCAATAAAAGTTTATTGGCTTTATTATTTGATTTGATTAGTAAAGCCATCCCTTTCAGAATCAAAGAAGAAAATAAATACTGTGCAAAACAAAATAAGCAACAAAGCTGACAAGTCATCAGCACATAAGGCTGGCAACAATAACACACGTCATTGTCACAGAACGGGCTCACCTACCACCCTGGTCCAGTGCATGGGAGAAAAGCCAGGTCTTTATGGCTGTATGGACATCCATACAGGTCATCCAAATTTGGGTCATCCAAATTTCAGGGGGAGATCATTCCAAAGGACAGGCACAGCAAAAGAGAAGGCAAATCCCCTAGGCCCTGTTAAGTCATATTGCTGCAAAGAAGGGACTTGGGCCATGCCCACTCTGTGTGACCTCAGGGCAGCAAAAGGCAACAGGAGAAAAGCGGTCCTGTGCCATGCAGACCCTTGAAGGTAATAACCAGCGTCTTGAATCGTATCTGGAAGTTCACGGAGAGCCAGGGCAGGTTACAAAGTAGCAGTATTACATGGGTCTACTGCACTACTACCCACGCCGCTGCGTTCTGGACTAGCTACAGCTTCCAAGTGGCCTTGAAAGGCAGCCCCGTACGGAGGACATTGCAGAAGACCGCACCTCTGTTTGCTGCTGCCGACACCACATTAACAAAATTAGAGTTCCAAGAAGTGGCCTTGTATATTATGCAGAAAAGCGAATACACCTGGTACCTGTATTCTGCAACACCACCTGCGTGCTTCTTCATAGCAGTGTCAGAGCTCATCCCATAGAAAAGCTTCATTTTTTTACCGTTTTTTTCTATAACCTCTCCAGCACATTGATCATGTCCTGCAAACATGCCTCCCAGCATCACAAAATCAGCACCAGCTCCTGTGATTGGCATAAAGGAAAAAAATGACTATGAGGGATTAAGCCAAAACGATACAGCAGTTACGATGTTTAATCAGGGCTGCATTAATAATTGAGATCTCCTCATCAGTTCAAGTATTATATGTACAGCACACAGACAGTATTTAGAGACATGTAACAGGAAGGGACATGAGTCCACAAAACTCTGTCACAAGACGTGCCATGCGCCCACATTAGTTAAAAAAAGGCTTTCTCGCATTTGGAAAAAATGCAATTTTGAAAGAGATTTTATTTTAAAAGAAAAAGAAATTCACACCAAAAAAACCCCCTGAAGAGGTGTGCTTTCTATTTCACAGGCTGTGCATAAGTGGCTTTACAGGAAACTGGATTGGGAGGCAAACAGAGCATTGGATACCAGTAGACTTAAAGAGTACAACAGAATGAGGAGATTGAAGAAAAACTAAGAGACTTCTTTGTGACTATTTTTACCACAGAAGAGAGAGGACGCAAACCCGTGGCTCCGGAGACATTTTCAGGAAAGGAGCCTGATGAAGGAGTGCAAATAGTGATGGTGAAAGGAAGAGGAATGCAAAACAAACACATTGAAGGATTCAGAAGAAATTCATCCAGCAGTTCTGAAAGAACTCAGGTGTGAAATTGCTGATTTGGTAAAATATATGTGATATATGCCACTACCATCAGTCGACAGGTAGGAAAATGTAACACCATTTTTGAAAGGTTAAAAAAATACAGGTCAGCCTCCATTCTACATAGATGACAAACATTCTTGCATAACATGTTTTGAAATATAAGAGTATAAGGCTTGTTCAAGATGTCTCCATAATGCTTCTGCCAAAAAAAAAAAAAAGCTTTTCACTAATCCCGTTACAGGTCTGTGTCTATGAGATGTCAATACATTTATGCAGAGTGTAATCCAAGGGATATTTGCCTTAACTTCCAAGATGTTTCTCACACAGTTCTGTAGTAAAGGCTTTTATGGGCCTACTTAGTGGACATGAGATAAAAGGATAGCTCATCCTGTGCAATAAATGTTTAAAGGAAAGAAAACAAAGAATGAGAATAAATGGACCATCACTATATTGGAAAGAGTCTCCAAAGCTCTGTTTTGGAATAAATGCTACTTATTTATGAATTATATCACAGGGTGGGGGGTTGCTGAAGATACCTACTCTTGTTCAGCTTCATTGTATTTATTACATTTGCAACCCTCTTTTTTTTTTTGCCAAATAATGGTACTGTGATAGTTAAGAATAAGGTTAAAATACAGAAACACTTAATAAGAAATGTAGCCTTATTATGGAATGGTAACAGAAAGTCTAACCTCCCTTTGCAGGGGCTTCCAAAGCCACTGAGAAGGATTTACTTATCTTGTTCTTATCCTATTCCTTGTTAGCTTGGTCTTTTTTAATTACATTGCATTTTATACTTTTTGTATTTATATTTTTATATTTATTACTATATTTATTTATAATATATTATATAATATATTTATTTATAATATATTCTTATATTTATATTATAAATATTTTTGTATTTATATTTTTGTATTTATATTGTGAGCCGCCCAAAGTCATTCTGGAGCCAGGCAGTGCCTAAATTGAGTAAATTAAATTACTTAGATTGAATTAAATTTCATCTTCCTACGAAAGATACCTTTGGGTTGTGTGAGCATCTATCCTATAAAACTGATAAGTAGGCAGCCTTCTAAATGAAAGAACAACTCTTCAAAGAGGCTGATAGGACTTCAGAAGAATAACACTGAACTGCATCCAAAATTAAACTAATAACCAAAAAAACATTTCACTAAGGCAGTCCAGAGCTCCATAATCAATAATTTATGTATCACATATTAAATTAGCTGAAGTTTCTGAACATTTTTTCCAAGGAATTCAACAAAGAAGTTATGGTAGCCCAAAAAAGAGATATCAAAGGCAATGCTGAGCAACTACTTGCTCACCGAATCAAAGGGAGAACTGTAGTTGAAGGGTGACACTGTCACATGAAGGAGTGATGCTGATTTTGAGGTTTCCCATTTTTCAGGATGAGAAAGTGAGGAGGAGAACTGATAGGTCACTCTCTTCAGTTCCTACTCTTAAAAACCCACAACCTCTTCCAAATAACTTGAAATCATTCTGTGAAAATTCAGCAGCAGAAGAGGCAAATTTTGTAAGCAAAAGTTTGAGGTGCTTGTGCTGATCTGGGGGAGGTTTTGAGGGTAGAAATTGGACTTGTTTTTTCCTAGAGCGGGTTTTCTCAAACTTGGCAATTTTAAGATGTGTGGACTTCACTTCCCAGAATACCCTAACCAGCATGCTAGGGAATTCTGGGAGGTGAAGTCCACACATCTTAAAGTTGCCAAGTTTGAGAAACACTGTCCTAGAGCTTTCCTCTCCCTTTGTAGCCTTACTATTGAAAAAGAACCCTAAAACTGCATCACCCAAATTCAACCATTTTTTACCAGAATTCATTGGCACAATCATGGGATACTGAGGAGCTGCACAGGGGCTACACATTGTTCATCACTGATCTAAGGCATAAGTTACCAAGGACAAATCTGAAATGTACTCTTAGGTACCACAACCTGGATATCTAGATTAAGGGCCAAATCCATTAATTTAAACCTTCACGAGAAATGTAATTCACACAGCAGAGTTGTGGTTCTTGTTTTCTGATCGACCTTTCAACTAACCAGGATCTGCTTCTCAATTCACATATTATTTTGTTTAGATTAAACTTTGATTTGTTTGTACTCATCCACAACTTTGTACACTAATTTAGATTTTGTTCATTAGGGCTGTGCATGCTTCAAAAATTATTCAAAGGAAGTCTATCTGAATGTCACACAAGCAGATCCATTTCCGCTATTCATTAAGGCAGCATGTCTTCTTTCAGGCTTTTTACAGCTGAAAAATCATGTGCTCTTTTAAGGAATTGACTCATTAAAGTTAATGTTTTAACTTTCGTGAGTGGATTTCTTAAAACAGCAAAACACTTTTCACTTAACATTTTGACAGCATTAGCTGTTTGGTGTAAACGCACATCCATAAAAGCAGTAACATCAGGGGAAAATAAGTAGAAGGAAATAATGCATATATTGAGGAATAATAGAATAAGTACAGTAGAAGGAAATGATGCGTATACTGAGCAGCATACATCTATTGGGACCATTATTTAGAGAAGAGCTTTCAGAGAATTAGAACTTTCAAAAACCAAGTGGTTAATGGTGCCACTACTGATATCCAATCAATATCATTATTATCAGTAGTAACATCAGCTACTAGTGGTAGGTCTTAAGTACTAGGGAGCAGGGAAAAACAAATTCATTTGCATCAGGCTATAAAACAATCTGTCCCATTTTATACCTTCCTTTGTTTGTATTATTTTATATTTCCAGAATACTTGTAAGAATTAATTTACAGAAAATATTATGTTATAAATTTTAGCTTTTATCTACAATGGATGCTGATTTCATTCGTGTCTTACTACAAAATTGCAGTTTTCTTTTTTAGGAGATGGAAAGAACTTGTGAATTTAAAGAGTCAGAGATGAATGAAAGGAAAACAAAACTAACAGTCATCCATCATAGGAAAAAAGATCTGAGTCATGAATAGTCTTTAAAAGTTTGGAGGTGAAATTCTGTTCAGTCCTACTCTTGAAGCTGTATGAGCACAGGCACCTCTCTCTGACAGGTTCTTCAGCTTTGATAGCTATATGACAGACAATTACTCTCCATCCTGAGACCAGCTGATCCTAGTAGGAATGAGTGAAAAGACTGTTTGCTCCATTACATAGTAAGAGCCTGCCAAATTTGTTTCTTCAGAAGTGGGATGGGAATAATTTGAGATTTAAAAAAACAAACAAGCAAAATCACATACTGTCCATTCCTAATCGTAGTAGATTTATCTTAATGCATTTCCCACTCTTTAGCAACAGATAGTACTCACCAAAAGCTTTGGCCACATCACCTGGATAGCTGCATCCTCCATCCTGAATAAAGGATGGAGACAAGGGAAGAGGTCAGTCCATACATCTCCATTTGTTACTGTTACACACTGGTATTTAACCTGGTGTTGGCAGAAGGATTCAGCCTAAGCATTTATAGGAAATGAGAGCTAGAAAGTGAAAGCGTCAATCTTTTTTTCATAAAGGGTTTAATTTCAATACACTAAGCACATTATGAGAGCCAGTTTGGTGTAGTAAAGGCACCAGGCTAGAAACCAGGGGATGGGGAGTTCTAGTCCCACCTTGGGCACAAAGCCAGCCTTGAGCCAGTCGCTTTCTCTCAGCCCTGGGAAGCAGGCCATGGTAAACCACTTCCGAAAAAAATCTTGCCAAGAACAATGCAGGGACTTATCCAGGCAGTCACCAGGAATCAACACTGACTCAAAGGCACCCCCCCAAAAAAGCAGATTAAAATTCCATTTACATGGAATTTTATGTGGTCTGTCTTCAAAGCATTAGACAATAGAATGCAAATTTCTTAAAAAGTTACTGGAAATGGGATTTAGGCATAATCTTATTGCAATAATTAATCAGATATATTTGCCCAAACAAGCAGTCATGAGTATCAGTGTTGTGGATATGGAGATTTTTCAGAAAACAGGAGCACTAAAGAAGATGCCCACTTTCCTCTATTTAATCTCACTACAATGAATGAGGATGGCAGGCACTGATGGAGAGGGAAGAATCCCAAGTGCCAGTAAAGAAGGTTTTATATGTCCCAAAGTGTTTTGGAAAATATACTCCCTTTTCAAGGGCACTTCTGGAATATCTGTGGACTGACTGGTGTGCTCATTTTCTTGATTTACTGTATTCTATAAGCCTGATGTTCTTATTTCTCTGTACAAATTATAAAATGAAGCACGTACTTAAGCCTTGCATTCTATCCTTCAGAATGGGCAGGAAAGTATTAAATAAATACCTAAAATTATTTTTTAAATTTTCTTTGATAAGATTATAAACCATTATAGTAACTTGTAAAGCACACTGAAGACATTCACAGAAAGGTGAGATGGGATGGCCTATCTATACTCCTTTCCTTCAATCTATATTCACCAAGTGTGAATGTTCTGTTACTAAACATATGCACTGAAGAGTGACAATTCTAATGCACTGTACATGGAATTGTTCTGTAGACCACTTTGTTGGTGCAACTGGTGCAAACCAAGGATGAACTACTGGATCTCTGTATGCCAGAAGCAATTATTGCTTCTGTAGTTTTTGCCAAACACAATACAAGAG